TGATTGATAGAGAGAAAGAAAAGAGGAGCGGCTGTTTTACAGAAGGAAAAACGAAAAGTGAAAAGTGAGATATTAGGATTTACATGAGACTATTTATACTATTATAGAATGCTAAAGGAGCTAATGACACTTTTAAAGGTAAAGTGACTTAGAGCATGTTTGGATACAAAATTATCTCAAAAAAATCCAAACATTTTTAACTCAACCATTTTTTTAACTCAACTTTAACTCAACTCCACTATCATCAATATTATCAATATAATTAAATAATATCAAATCAATCATTCTTACACACAACATCACCTTAATTCACTATTCATCTACTCACATAATTTTAACTAACCATCATTTCAAATCTCCTCTCTCTTACTTTATATCAAATCAACTTTAATCATTTAATTTTAAATATTATTTTAACATATCCACTAACAACTAACTATACCAATTTTTTCAAAACTAACCAAACCAAACAAAAAAATCCAAACAAAACCAAAATTTTTTATATCCAATCATCCTCTTAGCACTTTTATTAAAAAAAAATATATATACTCTATTACCCCCGCAGGTGGAGCATGTATGTTGGGCATGCTCAACTTGGAAGTAAGGGCCTTGAAGATGGGACCAGACAGTGGTTTGGTGAGGAAGTCAGCTAGTTGATCTTTGGTGGAGATGTGAGTGAGATGAATGAGGCCTTGTCCAATCTTCTCCCTTATTAGATGGCAATCCAGCTCAATGTGTTTGGTCCTCTCATGGAACACAGGGTTGGAAGCCATTGCCAAAGCTGATTTACTATCTATAAACATGGAAACAGGTGCAGTAAGTGGAATCTTAAGCTCAAAACATAAGGATATCAACCATTGTATTTCACAGGTGGTTAGGGCTAAGGCCATATACTCAGCTTCAGCTGAGGACGTACTTATTATATGTTGTTTCTTACTTTTCTAGGAAATTAATAAATTTCCAAGAAAAATCAAATAGCTTGTGACACTTCTCCTTGTATCAACATATGATGCCCAATCACTATCAGAATATGCAGATAAATGTAAATTTGAAGTTCTAGGAAAGAGAATACCTGGCCAATTGTGCTCTTGACATACCTTAAAACTCTGTTAGCAACCTGAAGATGTATATGGGATGGACTAGATAGAAATGGACTCAAGCTTTGAACTGAATATGCAATATCAGGTCTACTAATGGTCAAATAAAGCAATCTGCCTACAAGTCTCATGTACTCAGAAGGATTGTCAAGCAGTGGAGATGAACCATTTTTACTAAGTTTAAGAGAGGAATCCATGGGTGTGGTGGCTGGTTTACAGCCTAAGAGCCCAGTGTCAGTGAGAATATCCAATGCATATTTTTTCTGACACATATGTATTCCTTTCTCTGAGTGAGCAAACTCTAAGCCTAGAATGTGCTTGAGTTGTCCCAAATCTTTTATAGTAAAACAGTCATGCAAATGAGATTTTATGGCATTCAATGTACACATATATTGTTACCAATTAAGATGATGTCATCTACATATACTAAGAGAATGGTAACAGAAGTGGAATCATGCATATAAAATAATGAGCAATCAACAATGAATTGAATGAAACCATAATCAAGGAGACATGTAGTTAACTTGTGAAACCACTTTCTATAGTCTTGTTTCAAACCATACAAACTTTTAGTCAGTTTACACACTTTATTACCAGAATCAGAATAATATCCTGGTGGAGGTGTCATATACACCTCTTCATTTAAATCACCATGCAGAAATGCATTATATACATCTAACTGATGAATATGCCAATTTTTTATAGAAGCAAGAGCAACAAGAAATCTAACAGAGGAGATTTTAGCAACTGGGGAAAAAGTATCAAGTAATCAATTCCCTCCTCTTGAGTATAACCTTTGGCAACTAATCTGGCTTTATACCTTTCTATAGTGCCATCAGAGTTATATTTTATTTTGAAAACCTATTTGCAGCATGTATAGTGTTTGCCCTTTGGTAAATCAGTTAAAAACCACGTATTAGTTTGTTCTAGGGCTTTTATTTCTTTATCCATGGTTGCAACCCATAAAGGGTCTTTTGCTGCTTGTTTAAAAGTTTTAGGTTCAGATATGCTAGTAATAGAAGCAGTATAGCAGCGATGAGACTTAGATATCATATTAGTAGACAGATAATCATAAATGGAATATGGTGATGTTCTAGGAATATCAGAGAGTGTATTTGTAGAACATGATGCAACATGGTGATTGAGGGAGTGTTTGTAAATATTCGAGTATGCTTGAACTTTAGGAATTCTGGAAGATTTTTTTCTGTTGGTTGGGGAATCTGAGACATAGGGTAAAGACTGAGATAAAGAATTTGTATTTTGAGGCAAAGAGTTTGTTGGTATAGGAGAGGGAATATGAGTGGGGGAGGAAGGTGGGGAACATGAGTGTTGTTGGACTGGAGATGGAATAGAATGTTGAGCAGGGATATTGAGTGTTGGAGGATTATCATCATAAACAATTGAAGGATCAGGGTGTGGGAACAAAGAATTGAAAGTGGTAGAATTTGAAGATTGAGCAAACGAGAATACACCCTCATAGAATATAACATTTCTGGAAATCAATGTCTTCTTGGTATCCAGGTTGTAAAGTTTATAACCTTTACAACCCAATAGATAACCAAGAAATATGCACTTAGAAGCTCTAGCATCAAACTTATGTCTGTTGGCAACGAGAGTAGAGGCATAACACAGACAACCAATAACTTTCATATGATCATAAGTAGGTTGTTTACCATAAAGCATTTCAAAAGGTGATTTGTTATGCAAGATAGGAGTTGGAACCCTGTTTATGATATGAGCAGCAGCCATCACACAATCAATCCAGAAATTCAGAGGAAGATGAGCATGAAATAAGAGTGCTCTAGCTACTTACAAAAGATGTTGATGTTTCCTCTCTACTTTAGCATTTTGTTGGGGAGTTTCAATACAAGAAGTTTGATGCAAAATGCCATGATCAAAATAAAATTGTTTGAGAATAAATTCAGTTCCATTGTCAGTTCTTATGATTTTAATCTTTCTATCAAACTGAGTAAGAACCATATTGTAAAAATGAGTGAGATGGGTTTTAATATCAGATTTCATACTGACTAGATAAATCCATGTGAGTCTGCTATAGTCATCCACAATTGTAAGAAAATATTTGTGATCTGAGTATGATGTGATTGAAAAGGGGCCCAAACATCACAGTGTAATAAATCAAATGGATGAGAAGATACAGAAGTACTTTCATTGAAAGGTAATTTCTTTTGTCTTGAGAAATTACAAACATCACAAGGTATGGAAATTTTATTGATAGAATGAAAGACAGGTAATGTGTGAAGTTTGGAGTAGGACAAGTGCCCTAGTCTATAATGCCACAGAGAACTGTCAGAGGCAGAAGTAGTTACATTTGAAGCAACAGATACAAGAAAATGAACAAGTTTAGTAGAATCTATATTGAGATGATAGAGTCCCTCTTTATGATCAGCAGAACCAATCATTTTGAGACTTGTCAAGTCTTGTATGATGCAAGAAGAAGACAAAAATTTGACAATACAGTTACTAGTGGCAGCCAACTTTGAGACAGATATGAGGTTAAATGAGAATGATGGGACAAATAAAGCATCAAGCAATGTGAGTGAATCAGATAGTTGAACATGTCCACTTTTTGATGCAATAGTGTGATTGCCATTTGGGAGATTGATTTGCATAGAAACAGAATGAACATTTGATGTATAGAATTCAGGACTGCATAACATGTGATCAGTTGCACCGGTATCAAGTATCCATGTTGTTTTACATAAAGTTCTAGCAGCCATACATGATAGAGGAGCAGCCATACCTGGGAGCTCAGCCAGGGAAGTAGCAACCATAGGAGAATCAGTAGAATTATTTTTGAGCTCCTGAGATTTCTTAAATGCTAAAAACTCATGAAATAAACTGTTAGTCAGGGAAGAATCATCAACAGAATCATCAGGTTCTGAGTTTTAGCATCAGATAGAACAGCATGGACAGAGTGTTGTTTTGAAATTCTGGTGCCTTTAGGGCCAACCCAGTTTGATGGATAGCCAATCAGTTGGTAGCATCTGTCAATTGTGTGGCCTAGGTAGCCACAATGAGAGCATTTGGGTCTGGGTTTGTCTTTATTGTAATTTGGATTGGGAGGTTTGTTTTGATATTGTTTCTGTTGAGAGTTTGTATTGTGGAATGAAGATTTGGCTAGCATCGCAAGAGATCTGAGGGAGTAGTAGTGTTTGAAAGAGATCTTTGGCTTTCTTCTTGTAATGAGGAGTGAGTATATAGTGGTAGTGGTTTGGAAAGTAGGAAATGGCTATGGAGAGAGGAGTAAGACTCATTGAGTCTAATCAGGAACTTCATGACACAATCATGCTGTTGTGCAGTGGCCATAGTCTCAAAAATTTTACATGTACAGTCATTGAAAGCACCACATGTACATTTGATGATTGGGCGATAAGTAACATATTCGTCCCAAAGAGATTTAAAATTGGTGTAGTACTGAGTAACAGATGAATTTCCCTGATCTATAGTGCTCAATGATTTTTCTAAATGAAAAACCCTAGGACCACTAAACAGGGCATAACGAGATTTGATTTCTTCCCATACATCTTGAGCAACAGTAAATAACAACAGAGATTGTCGTATATCTTTATTCACAGAATTCAACAACCATGACAATACGAGATTATTAGCCCTAACCCAAGCCAATGACAAATTAGGGTTTGCAGTCGGATTAGGAACATATAATGTAATCGTCGATGAAACCGTTTTGTTCTTCACGCTTAGGGCTATGGAGACGGCGCGGGACTACGAGACGTAGTTATCGCCGTTGAACAGCTCGGCGACGATCAAGGCGCCGGGATTGTCGCTGGCATGCAGAAAGTATGGCGATGTAGGATCTTCAGAAGGATTCAGTGTAGTCATCGTCAAAATCGCTCAGAGATAGAATATAACAACAGATCGAAAGAGAATCGAGAATTGTTCGATAGAACCGAAAAACAGATCGAAAATAGAGAAAGATCTGGAAACGACAACAGATCGATTGTGTGAGATATCGTTGAGAAGGCGATTTGCAGCGGAATATCAAGATCTAGGCGATTGATACCATAATAGATGATAATCAACACAACACATTCATGAACAAGAACATCGATTGATAGAGAGAAAGAAAAGAGGAGCGACTGTTTTACAGAAGGAAAAACGAAAAGTGAAAAGTGAGATATTAGGATTTACATGAGGCTATTTATACTATTACACAATAACTAAAAATGCTAAAGGAGCTAATGACACTTTTAAAGGTAAAGTGACTTAGCACTTTTATTACAAAATATATATACACTCTATTACAAGACATTTGTCTTTTATATTATTTATTTACTTTTCATTATTAGGCTCCGTTACCATGTAATCCGCTATCAAGTTAATGTAATCAATGAAAAATAAAGGAGTAAGACTTTGTAAATTGCAATGTTTTACCAAATACTAGTAGATATCCTGTGCACATGCACAGATGTACATAAAATATTAGTAAGTAATGTTTGAGAATTTAATATTAAATTTAGATAATGGACATATTACATTTTCAAAAATTTGATCATTAGGAAAAATAAATTAACGATTTTATTATTATGAATAATTGTTTATTATCATTAGATAATAACAGTTTAATTATTATTATTATTATTATTAAAAAATAATTATTTATAAGCTTCTAAAGTTGTTTGATTATGATATTAAAATAATTCACTAATTGTTTTTAAAGAAATTTTTTCACGAGATACAAAAAAAAGGTAGTATTGATGTTATTATAAATAACTTGAAACAATTGTTTATAATTATGTAATTTATATTTATTGTGAATTATTATTAGTTGGTATTAGCAATAACTATTATATAATATAATAGAAAAATACGTGATTACACTTAATAAGATGTGTTAATGTGAAAAGTAAAACGTTGTACCGAAAAAAAATGTGAGAAGTAAAAAAATATTAATGATAAATTTTGTAACTGAAAATAGAGGGAAAATTTTAGAGGTTTTATTAAATAGGTAAAATTAAATGATAAGCTAGCAATTATATATATATATTTTTTTTTAAAAAAAAACAATTGTTTATAAGATTCTAAAGTTGTTTAACTATGCTATTAAAACAATTTACTAATTGTTTTTAAAAATTTTTTTTCATGAAATATAAAAGAAAAAGATAATATTGATGTTAAAATACATAACTTGAAACAATTCTTTATAATTATGTAATTTATATTTATTGTGAATTATTATTAGTTGGTATTAGCAATAACTATTATATATTATAATAGAAACACACATGATTACACTCATTAAGATGTATTAATGTGAGAAATAAAAAATATTAATGACAAATTTGTAACCGAAAATGAAGGAAAAATTTTAGAGGTTTTATTAAATATGTTTTATTAAATGCTACATGCTAGCAATTATATATATATAGATATATTTATTGAAATTATGTAAAATTAATATTTGAGATTTAACACGTTAACTAAATGGGTTTCAAACAAACAAACTATAATTCAAACTTGAACGAATCTCACGTGCGATTCTAAGTGAGGAAATCTCAATTGTAATAAACAAGGAAAAAAAGGCAAAACAATAATTCATTAATCTATTTATATGCCTTTTTTTAAATGTTAAAAAAAATTATATCCACAATGGACCCACCAGTACTGTGGACATCCACCTAATTACAAATTTAATTTGTTTTATTAACTAGTAAAATCTCATAATTAAAATGGTACGGTAAAGTT